CAAGCTCTTCTTCGCATTGGAGCGAGACAAGCGGAAGAGCCAAACCATCGACCGGCTCGTGTACAACGGCCAAGAAGCGACTGAACCAGACCAAATTGCCAACACTCTGCGAGACTTCCTTGGCACACTCTACGCCAGCGAGCCCACCACTCAGGAAGACATTGACATGGTTCTGGAAGCGGCTCGCCCCAGCTACCGACTGACTAGCGACGAACAAAGCAAGCTAGGAGCTCCACTCACAGACGCTGAAATTCGGCTCGCCATCGAACGGACTCCTAAGGGCAGGTCGCCCGGCCCAGACGGACTCACGCCAGCATTCTACGCAAAATACGCCGGCATCCTTGCTGCTCCCCTGGCAGCCCTTGCCAATGTCGCGCGAGACAGAGGCAGGCTCCCAGAGTCAATGATGCGTGGCCATGTCAAGGTCCTGTACAAGAAAGGCGATCGAGCTAGCGTTGAAAACTACCGGCCAATCAGCCTGCTCAATGTCGACTGCAAAATCATCTCACGAGCATTGTGCAACCGACTCGCCAAAGTCCTGAGCAAAATCATCCCCGTCGCTCAAAATGGCTTCGTCCCAGGACGCACAATCGACGCCAACATCCACCTGTTCAGAGACATCCTCGACCTGACGCGCCACCACAAAATCCCAGGGCTCGCGGTGCTCCTGGACAGCCGCAAAGCCTTTGACCGTGTGGCTCACGACTTTCTGTACCAAGCAATGGCGGCCTACTCAATTGGCGACTCGTTCATCTCGTGGATGCGCCTCCTCAACACGGGGTGCCAATCGCACGTAGTGTACAACGCCACAGTCTCCCTCCCCTTCCCCATCCAAAGGTCGGTGAGGCAAGGCTCAGTCGAAGCACCCTTCCTGTACGCAATCTACGCAGGTGTGATCAGCGACTACATCCAGTCTCGCCGAAACATCGCCTTCCTCAATGTGCGACCACAGCTCGAGCCCCTGGTCATCAAAGCGTCGCTCTTCGCCGATGACACCACAATCTTTGTCCGCAACGACAAGGACGTGATGGCTCTCTTCAAGCACTACGAAACCGTCGGCAGAGCCAGCAACCTCGCCATCAACCAAGAAAAAACCACAATCGTCCCACTTGGTCCCCGCAGGAACGACGAGATCCCCGAGGTCTTCAAAAGCCTCGGTGTCGAATGGATTGACCGAAGCAAGACGACCAGAGTACTGGGAGTCAT